CACGCAAAGGTCACAGGTTCCCGTTCAATGTGGACGATATTGATTATAGACCTTGAGCGTTTGTCATCATTTACGCTGCCACTGCCCTTGTTTCGTAGTTCAGAAGTGCAAGATGCATTGCCTCCCATTAAATAAGTTATAGAGCTGCCATTAAAGAAGCACGCATACTGCATTTTGGGCAACTTTAGTCACTCTGATGAATGCGATTGGGGCACGAAAAGCAACGGTTATTGGCGTGGTTATTTATGAAAACTTCCTGGAGCATTGCGCTAGAGAGAACATATACAAACGAAGATTAGCTAATTTGCTAAAACCTACAAAACTTTAAGTGCACAGGCTTATTCAAGTCATTTTATTTGCGCCCGAGATCGTAGTTAGGCATACATTTGCGAATAAAGAATTTATGTATTAACAGTCACCATCTTATCTTATGAATCTGAACAAAATTAAAACACATCGAGATCTGAGATTACTATTTATGGGCATTTTAATTTAGAGAAAAACGTACTTTAATTACTGGATAAGAATTTGTCGCATGTCAGACCTCGGATCCTAAAAAAAAATACTCTCCACCGTTTGCCGATGACTGTACAATTAAGGCTGTCCGATCCCCACGATTCTGTATATGTATATAGGAGGTGGCTTCTCGTTACTGGTATAATACGATTCGACGATAAGGTACCTTATTTCAAGAAATATACTTCTTTTTAATTATATTATTCAATTATCTATCGACAAATTTCAACTTTTATACGGGACAATACACAGGAGATCAATCTTCAGTCAACTACAATCACATTCGTCAGGAACAGATTGCCAAATCATATCTACTTCAGCACGACAAGTAGTTTTGTGCTAGCGAATAAGAGGATTGATGCCGAACTTTTTACAGGGCATGTCAGCAAATAGATCAAAGACGGCGAGCTTTGTTCTCTGATCCTCTACAAATGAGAGCTTTTGTCCTGCTTACCGTGTACGGCAATTACCTTAATTGGGGGCAACATACGGCATGTAAGCGCATTCAGTTCAAGTCTACACTCGTAATTCAGAAATAAGCTTCAATGGGTTTAAATATCATGCTTTAAATTAGAATTGTATAATCACCGGTACTCCATTTGTTATTCTTATCAACTGATATTTTTGAGAGCGCGATCGTAATTGGAGATATTTTCTCGGCAGCTAGTCTAATATAATAATAAGGTATGTAAAGTGTTGATACACACCTCCAAGTTATTAAATACATAATTTCTTCCTTCCAACTTCCTAGTTCATGCCATATTCACTAAACTCACCTTGAATCGCCGCGCTAGCTTCGGTTTCCCAGTTTCTATCAATAACGAGTTTTGAAGTATTGAATAGATCCGCTAATTTTACTGGGACTGAAGAGTTTAAAACGCGGCTCCTCGATCATTTTTTTACCAGTCAAGCATCCGTAACTGTATGAAATGCAACTCATTTCGATAAAAATGCAGTTCATTTCGATAAAAATGAAACTCATATCGATAAAAATGCAACTCATTTCGATAAAAATGGAACTCAATTCGATAAAAACGGAACTCAATTCGATAAAAATGCCACTCATATCGATAAAAATGGAACTCAATTCGATAAAAATGGAACTCAATTCGATAAAAATGCAACTCATTTCGATGAAAATTCAACTCATTTCGAGAAAAATGCAACTCAATTCGAGATAAATGCAACTAACTCATCACTTCGAGATAAATGTAACTCATTTCGATAAAAATGCAACTCATTTAAAGAAAAGTGCAACTCATTTCGAGAAAAATGCAACTCAATTCGAGAAATGACGATAGCAAAATTGGAAGAAGGCCAAAACCTGGCGAGCCAGACATGAATTTTACGATATTGTCTTAATTTAATAACGGCGTCATTTTAATTACCGATCTCATACTGTCAATAGAATTACTGCGTTAATGTTACTGCATCGGTGCTACTGCTGATAGATGAATCTTTAATCGGTCAATTGACCTGGTTGAGGTCATCGTTGCAGCTTATTTTGAAAATCGTTTGGCGAGTTCCAGATTTTAGACGAATTGATTATTAGATAACATTAATATTCGGGGATCACCAATATAAATTTCCAAAAGTTAAACAAAATAGTGATTTAGTAATTACTACGTTTGACGTTAATCTTAATTATGTTATTGATGCGGCGCGTTAAACGTGACTTTATTTGAGTGTTTTTGCAAGCCGCGTGTCCACAAATATCAATTATTAACGAATTGTTTTGAAGCAACAGTCGAAATTCTCAAAAATAATTACGATAGCTATGTGACTCAAAATCTGTAATTGATCAAATTTGTTCGGTCAACGTATTATTTTCGACCAATCTATTCACGACTGCCAAATCATTTTATAGAATCTTGCCCATCTTTGTAAAAACATAGGTTCCCGAAAGGAATTGACTTTTTACAGTCCATGGACCTTTGCACTCACCGAAGATTTCTCGGGGATTTTATCGGATGAAAGAATTGCCGTCGTATGTTAGACCAAAACATCTCATGTGTATTGTTTTGTTTTGTCTGTGCCTCACGGGGCCTCGATGCTCTCGTTGAATATCTCAAGCGTGAAACCCGCTCTCAATATATTTGTATAATATTAAAGATTGTTTAGGGTTTCCCGTGTGTCTTTTGCTTGTCTCTCGCGTGACCTCCTCGTTTTGGTTGAATGCCTCCATCGAGATTCGTACGCATAAAAATTTGGCCAACTGCAATGACCCATAAACGATGAATACAATCTCGCGTTGTCTCATTCTTATGTGTGAATAAAGGCAGATTTTGTCATTTTTGAACAGTCGAGAAGTGCGTGGATACTCTTATTCACGATACGAAAAGTTTGCAAGACAATTATTTCAGGTTTAGAACTGGAAGATATATTGTAATTTTAATAGGAAAAATCAAATGAGAAACCCATTTCGAGTGATTTCAATATTGTGTCAACTAATGTCGAAGTAACTCAACAATTACACATTACTTGCATCTCCTTTTCCACGTTATCTCCTTCCAGACAGAGGAAAAAATTTATATCCGAGGTTAGGTCATTTCAGCGCGGGTGCACCCAATTTGGCCAGTCGTCTTTCACATGAGACGTCACTGAAACCACTCTGAAGTTTGTGTGGAAGTTTAAGCACATTATCAAGAGATGGGCTATGCGTCAAGAGGGATTGCGGGTACAATTAAAACTTTTGTCTCCTCTACGAAACTGCAAACGTCGGCGCAGGGCAGCAGATCTCGTAAATCTCCTGCACTATGTTTGTTCCTACCCCGACGACGGAGGCGATGACGTACAGATATTTACCAGCTCCTAGTTGGCCTCTTTGGACACACGTTTTCGTTGTGCAGAAGTAAACATTGCCTTTTGTTGATGCCTTTTATATGGATATCTTTGAACTAAAATGAATCTGACATCCGCACAATGTTGCCGGACCGACTTGTGCAGAAGTGCGGAATATTGAACTATTGTAGTAGGTATCATTCGGTCTGAGCCACCACCGTGAAAGTCTGTGAACGCAATCGAAACTTGATAGTTTAAAGAAGGTCCACGACCGTTGTCATTAATTATGTGACCTTCAATTTATTCGTATGAATTTCAACCTGTACAGATTTAGATATCAGAAATTATTGTTAGGTTTTATTGTGAAGCTTTAGGCATGAATTATTCATTAGGTACAAGTTTCTGTGATACGTTTAGAATTTAGATCTCTCGTGCAGGGAGTCCTCATAGGACCAAACCTAACTGCACCTCTTGCACACATTGATAATAGTTAATCTTTTCGTTGTAGATGAGGGCATGATGAGTGATCATCGCTTTTCTCACGTCACTTGTCGAACCGCGAGAAACGTGAAACCCGGGGTGGTTATTGCGGAATGGTTAAAATCTTGCGTTCCACCCAGTGCATGCAGCATGCTGTCCCCTTACACTAACTTTTTTTCACGCCAAGCGCTTGATATATCGCTTAACTCTTGTGTACTATTTATTTGATACGAAACCACTTCCTTTATTTCTTTATTAGCTATTTATAGAATAAAAAAATAGTCAAATATTAATGGCGTGCTAATAATAATTTGAAATGAGTATGCAACGAAATGCCCGGAACTCGGATGTAGCCAAGTCCATTTGGTTGATAGCTTGACAAGTGCTCTACATGTGCATCTGTGGTAACGTAATAAGTGTTACATGCACACCTACTGTCACGTAATGAATGTTAGATGCACACCCGTTGTTACGTATGTAACAAATCTTACATATGCATCTATTGTCACGTTACAAATGTAACGTAGGCTACAGGCTACAAGTGGCACAGGCTGGAAGCGAGGCCTGTTTTATCCCCGATTTTTCCCCCCTCCCCCTCCCGTCTTGCCCTCCCTTCCCCCTTGCTGTGCCTGATGGCTATCGATTTGCCAGCTGCGGCAGCCGCGGCCGTTGCCTGCTCAAGGTGTGCGCAAGTGAAATACTCCCCCACTGTGCATCTAACGTTGAAATAATGTTGATGATACGTTGTTTCATAGAAATTAACTCGTAATCGACATTGTTGTAGCGATATCAACTCAAAATCGACGTTGTTTCGACGAAATCCACTCGTAATCGACGTTGTTTCGACGTCTTTTGCCCGGAGGATGAGCATCTCTAGTTCTTCGTAAGTTTTACGACGGTGTTAACTTGAAGTTAGTGCCTCAGAAGCTTGTACAGTTTACGAGGGTACTAGCTTGGATAAATCTTGAACGAGAATACAGGTTTTGTTTGCTGAATGAGGATTTGTAAGTTTCCCTTGAAATTGTTCACGCTAATCTGGCTTTTGGACAGTTAAGGAATCCAAGGGTAGGAAAAATTCTTCAGAAGTCAGTATTGTGCTCTTTGTAGTTTCTTCTGCAAGGCGGTGGCGAAGATTACTAAGCCATCAATAGTAGGCTTCGTAATCCTGCTAAAATTTTCGGAATGACGAACGGTAGCCGAAGTCCTTCTAGGCAGGACTTCCGCATGCATGCAGTGGTCGGATAACTTCAATTCATTAGCCTAGTTCATCAATCGACCAAAACGTTCACTTCCGCCGCACGTTTGTGGCCAACATTTATTAACAGCCTGAAGCTTAGTTCAGCTTAACAATAGCAACAGTTAGTAATCCAACGGTTGTTTGGTTGACGAATGACACTCATGGGAGTTTGCCTGCGCAACCCAAAATGTACAAACTAACTCTTCTAGTCGCGCTAACTATTTCTTGATGACTAGTTTCATCTAATTTAATGGTCTAATTTAATTCATAGAATTTCTGGTAATTAAGTCTCATCCGTTCGAAAGGCAGTTTAAGTGCCCAGTCGTTTACATACTTCCAGTCGTTGAAATTGACACATCTCAGATCATCGCATTTCTAGGAACGTTGTAGTTGAGTTTATTGAAGTTGATGAAATATGTGTACTGCACGAGGAGTAGGATTAAGTTATAGTCGTGTAGTTTTGGCTTGGTTTACCCTGCCATACTACAGGAATTTAGAGTAATACACCTTGTACGTATTTTAAACTAAATGTTTAAACGCCTTTTACCTGGTGGCCAGTACCCTCTAGTTATTAATTCTTGAACTATTCGCGACTGACGAATGGAGCTCTGAACTAATTTGTTTTCCCTATCACAGGAATTTGTTCACGCAGTATATGTAAGAATTTGATGCCGATTGTAGATGACTAGAAGAGTATATCTAACATACATCGGATTAAATTCTGTCAGTCCCAGGCCAAAAACATTATTTTTAGAAGCGGTTCCTATTAACAGGCGACCACATCGTAGGTGCCGAAAGCATTTTTTTCGATTATATGCATACTCCGATGCTCGTGCCTTGTCTTAGCATGGATTTCATACTTCTCTGATTGAACCTTTACTTAACTGACTAGCTTCCTTACAAAAGTGTTTTAATACTTTTGAAAAATAATGCACAGCTTCATGAGGCTTTTCGTTAATTTTTCTGAAAATGTTGATGAGGTATCTTCACATTACTTCAATGTAAGTAAAATGTACCTTTCCTCTTGCAGGTTGTCTGTTCAGCAACACGCTCTGCGAAAATGAATGGTGCTTTGATGGTGAGTGAATTTTATTTCACTTTGATTGTGTCTTACTTGTGATTCCGGCACTTGTTTTAGGCCTGATTGCGTTTGGTTTTTGATTTTTATAATATAAAACAATTGAGCTACACGATGTTCTGGCTACACATACGATGCTCACTAATTTTATACTTCTTTTCCTTACCTTACGTATAACAAATTTCCTCTAGATTGATTTACATTTTTATTGACATTTTTAATTTTATACTTTTTTGCCTTACCTTACGTATAAGAAATTTCCTCTAGATTGATTTACATTTTTATTGACATTTTTCTTGACTTCAGCATAAAAATGAACACATATTTGAACAAGAAAAGCAAGTATACTTATTCTAGTTTGCATTACTTTCATATCACTTTGTATATTAAGCATAATTTCCATGCCTAAATCAACTAAACTGAAAATTTGCTTTTGTTCGATTCTTCAGACTACGCGTTCGGGCGCTGCTTCCCCGTCAAGGCCAACCTGAAGGAGGAAGATCTCGTCAGGTGGGAGTCTATTTTGTTGCGTTACTGTCAAATTATATATCCAATAATCAAATTAATTTTGTTTACATTTATTAGATTGACGTTTCTTAAATGAAATAAATTTAATGCTTACATGAAATTAATTTCTTAGTTAAATTTTTGTTAGCGTGGCACTAAATTATAGAGCATTGTTAGAGGAGAGGATGATGCATGAAAACTGTAATAGATTCTGGCCCGCCATTGGTCGGACAGCAGGGCTGACTGGGACGGTCATGAGAGGAGCTACAATTATACCGAGGGCAGTTTTTATGTTGGCTAGCTAATGATAAACAAAGTAGATGGAGGGTGAGAGCAAATAACAATAATATGCGTTTAAAAATTGATTTTTTAAAGACACTTTTAAAGAATCCAGTGTCTCCAGTGGTTACACATGTACAATGAATTTCTGATTTTATTTTCAAAACTTAAAAAATTAATTTTTTTAATATATAAAAAATTAAATTTTCAAAATTATATATTCTGTCAATTGATTCATGCATTGTCTCCAACTTTACACAAGTGTGCAAAATTTCAGATTGATTGGACAGGTAGAAGTGTGTTAGATATTGATTATAAGATTTGTAGCAGACAAAAAAAAAAAAAAACAAGAAGTGAAGTTAAAGAGAAGTGTTGTAAAAACAATATCACATTGAGGAATGTAGTGCGGTGAACAACATCACTTGTTTTTGCGGGTAATATATAAGCACTGTACATGTCTGGAGAATTATTAGATAAAACCTTGCAAAATTAGTAATAGAAGCCAAAGTATCGATAATTCCATCAAGTTCATTGAAAAGGTTAATATGTGTTGGTGATGTATTAATATCAGTTNTCCAACCAGCGAATTGAATGTTCTATGACACTATGACATTCGTCTTATCATCCACGGTGTTCATTGGACGGCCAAATTTAGTCTCTGTCGCTATGTCCTCCTGGAAGAGACCTCGGAGCTAGACCCCAGTCGTATGACATCTCCGCCCGGTCACGAAAAAGATCGCGAAGCCGAGAATTTAAATTGTTAATTATCGAGGTTCATGTACATCTAGGTATCTTAGCTCAAAGATTACCCGTTTTTATCATATTAGATATTTTAATCAGGGCTGCTATATTTCGAAATGACACATTCCATTTATGATTTATAAAGAATCGGGCATGTTTTGCATTTATCGCTTCTTTCACTTTCTAAGCATTTTTATTCACTGTATAATTATTGCATTCATTGGAACAAATCAATCGAGCCTTTCTTTCATTTAATACTCATCTAGTAGCTCCTAAAAGGAGGTATTTACTGTTATAACCTGTAGCTGTGGTTCAGCCGAGGAGTATAATTTCTTCACTCTGTGCACTTAATTCAGTTACTCCCTCAATTTGGAAACAGAAAATGAGCTAGGAAAACGATTTTGAGAAAATGTAGTCTGAATTTCAAGCGTATACTATTCCAGTCACCCTGCCAAGTCGCCTATCATTCCAGAATCATTCTTAGTTTTAATTATCTTATCCGTATTAATAATTGTCGATTATTAATGACACGATTGGCTGGCATTCGTTGATTTACAGTCTACGGAAAATTAAAAAAGTCTGCTATTTAGCTACAATGTGTTTTTTTAATTACAACGCAGACTGTAGCATGGTAAAAAAAAAACAGAAAACCTGGCCAAATAATCGCATCACATACAGCGGAAGAATATTAAAAGTCTACAATGATTTTTTTGGATATGACATATCATAATAACTCGTAAAAATCATGAAGGGCAAATGAATTTAAACAACAATGAAATGAGTTGGCTTTGGTGTGCACATGCAGAGCTCATTACTGAGAGGTTCCACTCGCCTAATCGACAATATTCACTTCTTGGAGGCGAGTGATTCATCAGAAAGGCTGTACAAAATCTACGCTTTTCTTAAACTTGGCCTACGATGCTTGACATCGGTACCATGTTGTGCTCCATACTCCATCTGTTAGATTGATATCGGTACCATATTGTGCTCCATGCTCCATCTGTTAAACCGATATCGGTACCATGTTGTGCTCCAGGTACCATCTGGGAGAAGATGAGCTGCATGTACTGGAGGCTGAGATGCAGCGGCTGTACCACCTGGGTTACAGATGGTCGCACACGTACACGCAGTGCGTGTTGCAGGCGCTGCTGCAGGCCATCCATGAGAGGTATGCTCAAGGTTGATCGATTCATGGATTTCTTAAATTTTTGCGTTTAGTTTAGATGAATTTAAGAGGAAATGTAGCAAATATAGCAAATTTTAAACATGTCATGAAAATAATTGATAATCTTGCTGAATTTTCTTCGGGTATTGTTTTATATTATCTAACTGGTTATAAGGCGGCAGGAAAAAGTAAAAGATGCTTTGCGTATTTAAGATCAAAATTTAACTATCGATAAAATGCAAACGCATTTGCTGAATGGTTTCCAATTTTTATTTAGGATATATGCTGTATCGTGAATATATGTCAATCCACATTACGGTCTACGGAGTTTACTCCTAAAATTTAACTTACATCTGTGACCAAAACCTCGTTTAGAAAATTAAGCCAGTTTTTATTAGAATTAGATTATGTGATTTCCTTTCAATTATAGGTGCAAGAAGCACATCTTTTTCTCTAATTTTTAACGCAATTGCAGCATAAAATGCATGAAAGTATTTATAATATTGAGTCAGCAATTCCACACATTGCAGCGCTTTTTCGGTGATTCGAAGACATTTTTCTGCGTTCTACCCAGTCTCACGAAAAATTTTTCCTTCTCAATAGAAGAAAACGAACTTTATGATCAGAGAAAACGGTTTTCATGCCAGGGGCTCTATTCTAAGACTTTCCTATAGCATTTTTCAAGCGTGTGATTTTAATCTGTGTTGTCAAAAGAATTCAGGCTTTTTCTATTTATTCAGCATAATATGAATACAATTCTACTATATTTGACCGCTCATATTTTCCATTAATTCTAATAGTAAAGTTCGAAGAAACGAGCACTTTGGTTGGTTAACCAAATCTTGTATTGATGGTTTCAACAGGAATCTTAATTGTCGTCATAACAAATATTTTTTTTAATGATTCATGTTTTTACCTACGAATTATTTACTTCTGATATTAATTTCAACATTGAAAAACTATCAAAGTGTTACATAGGATACTTATAGATATAAATTACATTTATGACTATATTAAGAGAAGCGTAACCTAATTTGCCTCGGCGAGAAGGAGATAATAAAATCCATCGTAGTATCGTTGCCAGAAAGATAATTTTCGAATGACGCGTATTTTTTGAGTCTTCAATGAGCTGCGAGCTTCGAAATTGGCTGTTGCATCGAGAATCATTTCTAAGTGTTCATGCCATCAGAAACTAGACTGTAGAGTGATGTTGCCAGCCTTAGTTACCTAATTACCTTGAAGTCACTTTAGACCTCGTATTCATAATTTCATTTTCACGTTAGAAGCTCTGAGATGCAGCGAATGTCGGAATGTCAATTAGCTCATCGCTATGGCAACCTAACGAGTTCGTTTCTTATGACACTCCACGCGAACCTTCGAGCAAGTGCGCTGCTTTGCGAGAAGCTCCGTGAATGTTTCAATTTATTTTATTTAACTGCTGTTTTGTTATAATTGTCATCTTAAAAAATAATTTTGAGTAAGAATATATTAGCAGCAGTAAAATAATCGCTCGTTTTTTAACAGAGCCTTAGCCCAGCCCAATTTACTTGGCGCGATATCATTTTGAAAGAATAGTAGAAAATTTAGACGATTCTCTACAGAACCGCCTACTTATCACTGAATGATCAGTAAATACTTCGATTACTGTTTAGCCTTATGCTTCGTATCTCAACGATTCAATGCAATATTTTTCGAATAGCATTACAATAATGTTACTGGTGAAGCTCATAGTGCAATCGCCTCACCATGGCAGCGAGCTTTATCCTCTGCATTGCATTTTAATCGCGTCTTTACAACTGTTCGAAAAAATCTTCAATGGATGTGAATCTCAGATGATTTAGATCGATCATGGATTGATACTAGCAAGATTTCTAAGAAGACATCAAATACATTAAAGACACGATTGGTTCGATTAATCGGTTTTATGTGAGCTATCGCTTGCGATGAATGGCCAGGTTCGACGAGTCTTCCGAAAAATTAGAATTTGTGATGCTTATCAAGGATGGCATTCAGAGGCTCTCCAGCGTCACACTCCAGTCGTAATCTCACTTCTTTCCCTTCGAGTTCAGCATTTTCCTGCTGCACAAGTCGTACATGTCAGCACGGATACTCTATTAGAAACCAGAGTCGGTTCGATGATATGCGATTATTTTTCACTTGTAATAACTTATTTTAGATTTTCAGAAAAAATTTCTGATTAGTTCAAGCGTCGAAACTATTGTGTAGCATTATTGAAACTTATTATTTCTTATTTGAACAATAACTCAATTGGTTGTAATTTATATTTATTCTTTCAATTTATTTGCTACGCGAAGCTGTATATGTGTTTGCCAGATATTTTAATCTTTAGCGTTACTATTATTATTTTATTATTATTATTATTATTCTACGAAGCAGTTATCGTGGCGTCTGGTTCAAACGAACTTCGAGGGCACGTTACGCATTAGTTTAAAGCAAACGAAAAATAAATACACGCGAAAGAATGAGAACGGATAAGAATGACTAAATTCCTTATTCATAGGCTCTACAAAATAGAGGTGAAATGAAACGTCGTCAAAACACCTGTAACAAAGCAGCCAATGTTACGGAAGCCGACAGACTGTTCCATATTCTGGCGGCGGCGACCGGGAACACTCTGTCATCATATCATATCACAGCGATGTCGGCGCTGGAGAATAGACCTGATGTGGCCTGTCGCCGAGTCTTATACTTTTAGTGACTTTACAGGTGATCTAAAGCCAAATTATTATTATTAATAAAGCCAATGCCAAGGGCCGGACAGGACGGTTGCTAATTCTGTGAGCAATCTAGGGTGGAAGCAGTCGGGTCCACATGACTTTTTGGGTTTTAGAGCGACCAGGCGCTTGAGAACCTCTTCTTCGGCTGATGTATACGTCGCAGAGCGCCAAAACAAGCGCTGGTAAATTTGGCAATGTGATTGTTCACAGAAAGTTCCGAGTCCAGCAGAATGCCCAGGATACGAAACGATAACCGGACTCAAACCATGTGGAACAGTTATTTTACGCGTCGACAATATATAACAGGAAGAGGATCGGGCCGATGACTGATCCCTGTGGTACGTCGCGAGTGACCAACGATGGCATAGAAGAAGAGTTCCGCCCGCATCGACCGCATTGGAATCTATTGCTGAGATAGAACTTGAATCACCGCAGCACTGCGACGCGCAGGCCGAAGTCAAATCGACTCAATAAAGTGGCGTGGTCTACCGTATAAAATGCAGCCGACAGGTCAAGTAAAGCTAGTTCAGCAATGGGGCAGTGGTCTATAGCTCGCAGAATATCTGCAAGCACCTTCAGCACAGCAGTTCTTTTGAGTGGAGATGACTGTAAGCGGACTGGAGGCTAGGCATGAGACAACCCTGCTGCAGATGGTTGTTCGGCTGTCGGGCCACATCGCGTTCCCAGAGTTTCGACAAAATCGACGGGTTCAAGCTAGACCGATATGATTTGGGACCAGAAGCGTTAAGGTCTGTTTCTTTTCATTAGAGGCTTAATGTTAGCTGATTTGAAAGATATCCGGGACAACATCTTCAGTAAGGCCGCGGTTGAAAAGTTCGACCAGAAAAGGTGCTAGAGGTTCGACATTCCCCTTAAGTGAAGACGTCGGCAGCGGATCGCTGGCACACTGCTTGTTGGGCAGCGTTCGCACTGCAGCGATGACATCGTCAGCTGTGACGCAAGTTAATTCTTGGTAATCGAACGGGCACGGTGCAAATGTTGCCGACGGAGCATCGGCTGACGACGCTCGCACAGCAAAAATTTTGTTTTCAATAACCCCGTGGAATTTCTCCACTCCTACGTTATCTGGAGCCTCTGTATGAACTCAACCCATAAGTTTATCCAGCGAACAGTACTGCATCATATAGTTACTATTTCAAATCGTTAGAAAAATGCTAAATCTACCAGTCGAAATAAAGTAGATGTCAGAATGTGAAATTTTATTTATAGTGTGATTTAGTAAGGGCGCTAATTGTGCAGTCAGAAACTAACAAGATCTCGGTTATTGAAGCTTTCCTGCCTGAGGTTCGCTGGACAAATACTAGTACCCGTCATCTAATTGATGCAGCGCATATGACGCTTCCTTGAGAGTCGTGTTCTCTAGAACTTATTGTTTCACCTTTAAGTCACTTTATTATCAGCGCTGAAAAAGGAAGAGCTTTATTTCGAGTCCCTGCACTTAAGACCTTAAGCGTATTTAATAATTCTTTTCTGAATAAAATTTAAAATGAGAGGCACCTGGAAGCTGTCAAAAGCGCCTTCTCAGGCCGAACCCTCACAAACCACTACTAAGCTGTCAAGTATCAAGACCATTTTCTGAAGAAATCAAGAGCGAATTCGAAACTTTTAAATAATATCTTTATATTTACCCATTAAGTGTCAGAAAACGAAAATTGTGCGGTATCTCAGTCGTGGATGAACTAAAAATAGTTATGGTGAAATTGATCATTGATCATTTGTCTGGTGAAGACGTTGCCACTCGTGAGAAATTTTCTATAGATTATAAATTTTTTCTTTTTTGTTCTTATATCGACAAGTTTTCTATTAAGAGATATTGTTTTCTCTTTTCAACATGAATATATCATTTAATGTCCTGCAATAATTTCTTATTCAAGCGTCAATTTTTCGATTTACGTGAAGCTCTCATAATATCCTTACGAAGTGTCAATTCAAAAGTTGCCCGGTTAAAGAACCGAATTTGCTATCAAATTCAAATGTTCATTATAAAATCAAATTGAAATTGAAATTCAAATCAAATATCAAATTCAAATGTCCATTATAATCTACGAAGTGATCTAGTTGTCGTTATTTATATCGTCTGTACAACGGGCACGCATTGTTGGAACGAAGCAAAAGTGCAATGCACAATCTTTGTTTTCATTTCGCCGAACTCAGTGGTTGTTTTTACGTATCATTGTTAGTCTGTAGTACTTATTTGAAGTTGGCTTTATTTTGAGGTCACTTGCTCACGGTATTGTTCAATTGGAAGCGTTCAATGAAAATCAATTCGAGGCACAGCAGGCGGGAATTGTATCAATGCGTGTAAAATTTTATTTATCTCTTCCGTGCAGCGTTATATTTTGGAAAAAAAATTTAAAATTCAGAATTTTAAATTCTCTTCATCGCATTTTTTTCACCGAAGAAACAGTAATCTTTCAGCTATATGAAGCGAGAGTTCGTTTTTTATGTTTTAGACATGCCCAAACATTTTACAAGAAAGAATATTCAAGCATGACTCGGCGTTTAGTAAAATTATTGTTCAGTTTGTTTGTTTTTGAGTTACTTGCTAAGTTTTAACATGATGTTCGAGCGTGTTGGAGCATGTTTGTGCATGTTTGTGTGCTGTTTGTGCACTGTTTGGTGAGCTGCGGTGCGGGAAGCGGTCGCGATCGTTGCCATGGCGACAATCGACAGATGAGGGCGGGCGGCGCTCACTATGGAAACCGGAGGATCCAGGCTGGGAGGGAAGGGTAGGAGGGAAGGATGGGAGGGGAGGGGTTAGGAGGAGGGGAGAGAAACACACGAGGGAGTTGAAGGCAGAAAGCTTTGGGGAACGAGTTGAAGGATGACGCGGGAAAAAGTGGAGGGAAAGAGGAGAAAAAGTAGGAATAAGGGAAGACGTCTTATCCCTAGAGGTGTAAAATAAAACAGGTGAATTGAAACTGCAAGCAAGTAGAATTATAGAAAGGTGAGGAGACTAACTAATGGAAACCCAATATCTGCATCAATTTACCACGTATGTTGAAGAGCAATAGCAGATGAATGAAGGCTGCACAACGGAAGACATTCGCTTTGCGGCGAGGGTACTGAGGGTAGAGCTGCTCTTTTAATTAATTTACGGCTAGAGTAACGATCAAATATTAATTGTATTATGAATATTTCCAATACGCCTAACTCTTGAAGTCGAACTACTTGATGAATGAATGAGCGCATGCATGAGGGTTGAATTTCGAAATGGAAATGTTGGACTGCGTAGGAATCTATGCTGAATGATTAAATAAATATATTGTGTTTCAGGCGAGTCTATAAACCACTAAAATTTAGGTTGCGGCGTCATGGTAACATCATTGCATAATCGTTACCAGCGGTAGAAAAACGCGCTTAAAAATTAACTAGTAGCTTTACTTATGTTCTAAATCGTACGAAAAGCTTTAATTTTTGAATTTTCATGAATTAAATTAAATTTTATAACTATAAAAAACTTTGTCGACATCTGAGTGTGTAATTATTTTAATTAAACTCAATCTTATTCTAACCCCTTATTTTTCATGTTCCTAATATTATAATTTAACTGGGCGTGTGCTTCACGGTACCATTAAATTTGTTCCTAAATATCATCTAATAATTTCACTTATTTGGATGAACGTTTTAGTAACCTAATAAATTTGTCTATTTTTCCCTGCACCAGCGCGGAATTCGAAGTTGGATCTTGCAACGACGAACTGGACCAGGACTTGGAAGGCGCCCTCAGGGCCATCGAGGGAGAGGAGCAGGTGCGTCCGCGTTGAAATAATGTTGAATATGCGACGTTGAATTAGCGTTAATTGCACGACGGTGATTAAACGACGTTGAAGTAGCGTTGATTACACGACGGTGATTAAACGACGTTGAAGTAGCGTTGATTACACGACGGTGATTGCACGACGTTGAAGAAGCGTTGATTACACGACGGTGATTAAACGACGTTGAAATAACATTGAATATACGTTGCTCCACCGTTATTAACATGTTATCAACATTATTTCAAAGTCAGTCGACTGGAAAGAAGTTACCAACAACGTTCATAATTTATTTGGAATTTGAAGCGATCAACTTGACACTTGATCTATACATCAAAATACATAAAAAGTTGCAAATGTAAATTAGCAGGAAGATGTTTCGATCATGGTGGAAGGCAATAGGTTCAATTAATTTTCTGTTCACATTGCTGAACTTTTGAATGAATGAACTCACTTAAGACAAATAACTTGTTAGTTACTAATATAGTAACTAATAACTAATTAGTGACGCGTAGACTTGCACGCTACTAGAAGTTGGCTAGTTTATCTTACAGGTTATACAAGGAATGCAATATTGCAGAGGGGTTTAGAAATTTGCAGTAAAAAATTAATGGGAGGATGATCGATATAAAATATCAAATATTCGAAAAATAAAAAATAGAAAAATTCTCTAGCTAACTTAAACATTGCATGAAAGTTACCTCCACGCATGACCTTGGAAACTGTATAGAACTTTTACACCAAGTTTAAACTTGAGCCCTTCGTGAATATTGATGAATTTCTCTCATGAATAGCTTGGCCAATTTTCCACATCTCCTATCTCAACAAAATCACGATGCTTCGAAACGTTACATTGCACTTATTTATAGGTTTTTTGAAATGAGTTATAGGCTGCAATTTTATAATTGCCTTTTATCCAACGTTCTTGCAATTTGTTGTACCCGATATATTATTATATACACAAATTAATTTCAAAATGTTGGTTTGAATCAGATGAGTGTCACCGACGTTTAAAAATTACTAAACCGGTGTAATTTTCCCCCATCCGCCTAACAACCAATAAAAAAATCGAGAATAAAATCAGAATTTCCCCATTTAAAGTTGGAATAATTTAGCATTGTGTTGGTTAGCTTACGTTTCCAAGCCTCGTCACACTTTACCACGAAAAAGGGGAAATTTCCGGGAGTGAATTTCTCACAGAATATTAGCTTGAATTTTATATTTTCCTTAGGGATAAAATAGAATTCTACTCTTAACATCAGAATCAAATATTAGCTTGAATTTTATATTTAACTCAGTATGAAAATAGAATTCTACTCTTAACATCAGAATCACAAGCTGAATTTCTATCAATCCCAGGAGTCTGTGAATCCGCGCGATTTGGCGATCGTGCGGTTCACTCCGTCGGCCACGGATCCGCACTCCGACTACGCAGACGAGTTCTACTTTCCGGCAATCGAAGGCGGAAAGCTTCTGCCGGCACCCTTCCGTCAACTGCCCTTGGACCACGAAAAGGTCTGTGCCATAGCAATGTTAATAATATTTGTATTTGTTGCGTTTTGAAAATAGATAGAAAATTATAAATGTGTGAAATTTGATTATATGGTATAAATGTATAATGATTTTTTTCCCAATCGGTTTGATTCGAAATTGAATCAATTTTAATATAAGAGTGATTAATGTTTTTCTGGTAAAATTATTAATGTTTGTTCGATTGAAATTTCGAAACAAATTTGTAGTCCAATATCAATAAGACATCTGATAATGCTGCATTTCCCAAGACTTATCTTAACTTCCTTTAACTTACTCTGACTAAACTTGTGATGATTTTCGTAAAATCTCATTCATTTTTCGGAAACTTTCCTTTAAAATTTTACTCATACAGGAGAAATTATCTGAAAACGCATCGTTGTGCCTTATTTAGAACCGTTTGAGTCAGTTGAAAATGTGAAAAACATAAAATCTTTCACCTGCCGTTCGCGAGAGCTGCAGCAGATCGGGCGTGA